GTCATTCGTTGAGTGTGCAAATCTATGTGTGCACTGGGATACCGTTCCAACTGGTGAGTGTTGCCAGACTGTTGCTTCAAAATTTTTGGACTGTCATGGCGAAAGACTATCTTGCCTTGATTGATCCAACTGGTAACCCTGTTCCGATTGCGCGTGAAGGGACACTGGTGTATTTGACACCGACTGTCATTCCCTATGCCGTGGCAGATGCGGCCAGAATGGCAGCGAGTTGTCTACCTGAAGTAATGACCGGGATTGAGAATCAACTTGGATCGGTTGAACTGCGTGGCGTGTCGGATATGCATGATGGCTCGATTGACCACTTGTTCCAGATTGGTGCTCTGATTGCAGCAGCACAAGGAATGAAGATGAATGAAGGATACCGATGGGACATGTGGGAAGTGAATGAATCTGAGTTGAAACTGATTCGACATGTTCGAGTGTGGCGTCATGAAATGTTGGATCCAAGGATCAAACTGGCGAATAAATCGCCGGCGCCGATCACTGGTCAATGGTCCCGATTGACTGGAGAGAGAGTGACTTACAAGACGTACAAGGACGGATCGACTGTCACTGTCAGGGATGAGAATCTCCTGACAATGAGGAATACAAGGCCCAAAGAGCCAAAAGAATGGCGTGGACGAGTTGAGTTCGGATTGAAGCACAAGCCGCAACTGAGACATGTGCAGAAGACTGCACCACGTCCCTACGATCCTTCGATTGGACGTGATAAGTCGAAAGTCGTGAATGCGGAAGTTGTCGAATCTGGAAAACCGACTGACGTGAGTAGTCCGCGAATGGATGTTGAACCGGAGATCATTGATCGACAGGTGAGAGTGAGTCGAAATGTTGAGGAACATGAGTTGGAGAATGCTTTGAGATCATTGCCTCAACATGGGAGCAGAATGAAGGAGTTGTTGTTGCAACTGTTCAATCTCGAGGATCCAGAGACTGCAGCACCCCGGACTTCCGACCGGTGGATACTGCTTCCTCGANNTGCACCATGAATGGAGAGACTGCTATCTCCATCCAGATGATGCTCCTTCACCTGTGGAAGGACGGCTGAGTGGTTACCTGTTTGGTGATCGCTATACAATGTTCTTCGACTCGAATGACCCGTCGATGATTGATACTGAGACTGGGCACCAGAATGATTGGGCAGACATTGAACTGCCTGATGGCACTGTCAAGAGGTGCGATGAACCTCGTGCATCTACTGGTCACAAGTGGATTGGACACACACTGTTCGTTCCTCTTGATCGACCGAAGGCAGGTGAGAATGAGCAGGAGACTGAAGACAAGAACGCGGTGAAGCCAAAAGGAGTGAAGACTCCGAATGAGCCCTCGGAGAATGAACGGAGATTGCATGAATTGACGCATCTCCCCTATCGCGACTGGTGCGAGCACTGTGTGCGATCGAAAGGGAGACAGAACCATGCAGTGAAGAAGAACGATAGACAGCCTGTTATTCAGATTGATTTCTCCTTTCTGTCGACGGATGTGCAGACTGGCTATGCAATGGCTATTGTGCTTCCTGCGAAAGGGAGTGTGGAAAAATATGCCGTTGCGGAACTGCGGTGTTCGAGATTGGTCGTCCATTTGGGATCATCCAATATGACAAGGAGAATTCACTGAAAGTGATTGCGAAAGACACCTGCAAGACTGTTGGCGGATTGCCGATGCGCGCAGCCCCGACTGGACACTCTCAAAGCCAAGGGAGTGTCGGGAATGTCCAGAGGACGTTGTATGGACAATTGAGAACACTGTTGTCTCAAGTGCAAGAGAAGACTGGAGTGAAGGTGTCGTCGGAATCCCCACTGTTTGCTTGGCGCGTGAAACACGCACAATGGCTGATCAACCGTTACCTGATTGGAACTGATGGCAAGACTGCCTGCAGCCGAAGAAGATCTCGTGAGTACGGTGGATCACTGTGCATGTTTGGTGAGTTGATTGACGCGAAAATGCCGCTAAGCAACAAAATGAAGCTTCCCAA